CTCTCTCTCTCTCTCTCTCTCTCTCTCTCTCTCTCTCTCTCTCTCTCCTGGAGAATGAAATTGGAGGGGGAGTCAAGGGGCAGGAACCCAGCTGAACTGAGCTTCTCTCCTAGCCTCAGCCACAATGGCATCTCTCAGGAAGGGGTCCTGTGCCTGCTGGAGACCTTGCCTTCCTGCCCTCGTGTCTGTGAGGTCTCTGTGAGGTAAGCTGCCAACCACTGACTAATGGTGGGGTGCAAGACCCCCACATTGCAGCTTTATGTTGTGTGATTTTGAGTCTCCCTGGTGGGTGCCACTAGGGTGGAGAAGGCCAGGTGTGCAGACCTGTTCCTCATAGGCTGTGTGGCTAAGACCTGCCCTGCTTCCTGTGCCTCGGTCTGTCTCTTCTGCACCTACTCAGTGCCCTGGGTGCCCAGAGTGCAAGCTGATGCCTCCCTGCCCTCTTTTCTCACAGTCTGGGCTCTGAGCAGGACTTCCGGATACGCTTGTCCAAAGAGAAAGAAGCTGGGACAATACTGAGGTAATCCTAGGTGGGGTGCTGAGCAGGAAAGAAGGCAGGGATAAGATCTATGAGGAACCCATGCCTTCCTCACTGGGTTCTCTCCTAAGATGAACTTCTGACAACCCAGGTTTGGTTTCCTGATGAACATTGATGTCTTTATTCCATCCCCAACATCACATAAACTACATTATACCATATTATACAACACAAAGTACACACATGTACTAGATATACAAAATGCACACATCCTACACATACTATCCCACATAGCACACATAGACTATACACACAAAATATATACTACATACATATACGCTCTCATTTACATATAGTGCATGAGAGCATGCATGTGCGCGTGCACACGTGCATACACACACACACACATACACACACACACACACACGGCCTTCGCTCTCCATCCACCAGCACTTCCTGCCTGATGAGGCCCTTCCTACACCGCTCACCATGGGCCCTGAGTCTAGCATTCATTTCTCCTGCTGTTTCTCAGAGAAAATTCTCTTAACCCTTTAAGGCCAGCTTCTATGGCAGCCCCTCCTGGAGGCCCGAGAAGCACCAGTGGCCCTGATATCAGAGTGAACCTTTTTGGGGTCCTGTAGCCCCTTTTCAGGGACAACAGACTTAGCTTACCTGTAGGCAGTGAAGGGCAAGGCCACAACCAATGCCCAGGCTCACCCTCCACACAGGGAGCCTGAACTACCTGATTAGCCACAGAGTCGGGTGGACCCTGCTGAAGTCAGCTTTTTCCTCCCCAGAAATAGCCCAGCAGCTGTGTGCTGGGATCACTCCATGGTTGCCTCTAATGTACCATGAGGCTAAATGAGATGTACAGCGGGCATAGCAGGCAGGCGCCCTGTGTCGGGAAGCTGGTGGTGTACCCATGTGGTAATGCTCCACAGGTGACTGACTCCCAGCTCCTAAGGCAGTCCCCGGCACCCGTCAGTTTGCATAGCCCCAACCTAGGTCTGTGTCCTCTGAGAAGCGTGGGAGGAGAGACCGGCAGCACAAGCCTCAGGTTCTGCCCTGCTTTCTCCCCTCAGGCTATGTGAGTGCAGCTTCAGTCCAGAACACATATCCAGACTGGCTCCCAGCCTGAGCCAGGCCCAACAGCTGACAGAGCTCTGGTGAGTGACAGGCCCAGCCTGTGGGGACACTGAGAAGTGAGGCTCCCTGCCTGCCTGAGCCATACCAGTAACTGATCTCTGTCCCCAGGCTGACCAGGTGCCACTTGGACCTGCCACAGTTGACCAACCTCCTGAGTCTGGTGAATCGACCAGCAGGGTTGCTGGGCCTCAGGTATCCTCCTTCACCTGGGAGGGGGGGAAGCTGAGGAAGATGGGGTCCCCACGGTCACAGCCTGGCCATTCCCTGCACTCAAGAGCCCACTTCTCTGCCCCAGAGCCGTCCCAGGCACACAGGGAAACTGTCCCTGAGGAGAGGAAGGCTATGCTTTGGGGTTTAAAAAAAAATAAATCATGCGTTGTGTATAGTCAGTTGGCAGAGTGCTTGTCTAGCATATATGAAGTCCTGGGTTTCATCTCAAACACCACAAAGGAAATAATAATTAAAATCAATTTAAAAATTACCAAAAAAGTTCTGAAGGACACCTAATGGAATGCAAAATAAATATGCTTATATTCTCACCATAATGTAAAAGCGTTCAGAGAAAGAAGACACTGAAATGGAGAGAGAGAGAGAGAGAGAGAGAGAGAGAGAGAGATAGTATAATCTTTATAAATTCACATTCCATTTCCTGTGTTTGATAATTGTTCATTCTCTTCCTAATTTACTTCACATTTGTTTGGCTAAAGTATTTTACAGTGAAACACAGACCTCATAAAAATACCTCTTCTAAACATCTCTTTAAAAGCAAGGATTGGGAGCTGGAGGTGGCTCAGTCAGTGAAATGCTTGCCTCGCCACACAAAGACCTGAATTCAGCCCCAGAACTGAAAGCCCATGAAAGAAAGGAGGGGTGCAATCCCAACATTGAGGAGATGGAGATGGGGAGGACCTTTGGGGCTCCTTGGCCAGCCAGCCTAGCCTACTTGGCAAGCTGCAGCCCAGTGAGATCCTGTCTCTAAAAACAAGATGGAGTGTCCTGAGGAACATCTAAGGTTGTCCCCTGGCCTCCAAATGCAAGTATGCACATGTGCAAATGCACTGACACACACATACAAATAGGCACACACTTGGATATGAGCACATATGCATTACTTTTCCTGTTGCTGTGATAAATGTGACCAAAGGCTGTAGTCAGAGACTGCTCATTCATTGCCCGGCTGTCCAGACTTTAATAATCACACAGACACTGTATTAATTAAAACACTGCTTGGCTAATAGCTTAGGCATATTCCTGGCTAACTCTTATATCTTAAATGAACCCATTTCTATTAATCTGTGTATCGCCATGAGGCTGTGGCTTACCGGTAAGGTTCCAGCATTCTGGCATCTTTCTCCTTCAGCAGCTACATGGCATCTCTCTGACTCCACCTACTCTCTCTATATCTCTGTTTGGATTTCTTGCCTGGCTTTAGTCTGCCCTGCCATAGGCCAAAGCAGTTTCTTTATTAGCCAATGGTAATAAAAACATATTCACAGTTAACAGAGAGGAATCCCACACCAAAAGGAAACTCTGAAGAAAGAATTTATTTTGGGTACAGTTCCAGAGGGATAAGAGTTCATCATGAGCTGGGTGGTGGTGGTGGCGCATGCCTTTAATTCCAGCACTTGGGAGACAGAGACAGGTAGATCTCTGTGAGTTTGAGGCCAGCCTGGTCTACAGAGTGAGTTCCAGGACAGCCAGGGCTACACAGAGAAACCCTGTCTCAAAAAACAAAAACAAAAACAAAAAAAAAAGAAAAAAAAAGACCCCACCATGGCAGGAACACATGACAGGCAGTTGCAGATGTGGTAGTTCCAGGAGGCAAAGATATCACATCTTTAACCACAAGCACAAAGCAGGGAATGAGCACTTGAACTGGGGTGAGGCTATGACCTCTCAAAACCCACCTCCAGTGACATCCTCTAACAAGACCGTACCTCCTAAACCTTCCCAGACAGTCACAACTGGAGATCAAGTGTTCAAATGCCTGAGTCTATGGGAGACACTTCTCAACATAGGAACATAAACCCATACACAAATAAGTAAGGATTGCAGTTCAGCCAGGACACCCAAGGAATCTCCTGGCAATCCTTCGGGCCATACATTTTCTGGTTTAAGATGAAATTCTCACGTGGTCCTTACATGGAAGAGCTGGCTGTGGGGTCCATGTCCACACAGGCTCCTGGGCACTCCTGGTCCATGACTCTGAGCTGTGACTGCACCTCACAGGCAGGGCTGTGTTTGTTCATGTCCTCATGTGCCCTGGGGCTAACCACCAACTATTCTAACGTGGTAGTTATGTCAAAAGGCTCCATGAGATGAGCTAACAAGTTTGGACCCCAAAACTTGGCTTCATGGGCAGCAGTGCACATCACTATCGCCCAGAGAAAGGCGCAGGAAGGCTGAGTAGTCTCTTTACCTTTAAAAAAAAAAGATTTAAGAATTCACATTTCTCAAAACGATAGTAAAATCAGCCATGAGTACTGTCGTGAGCCTGTAATTCCTGAAACAGGAGATCAAGGACAGCCTTGACTACCTAGAATGTTTGAAGCTAGCCTGGTCTACATGAGACCCTGTCTCAAAGTAAATAGGTAGGTAGAAAAATAGATAGATGATAGATAGATAGATAGATAGATAGATAGATGGATGGATGGATGGATGGATGGATGGATGGATGGATGGATGGATGGGTAGTTGGATAGATGAATGGATGGATGGACAGACGGGTGGGCAGGCAGGTGGGCAGACAGACAGACAGATAGACAAATAGATACAAAAAGTAAAATAACAAAAAAAGTAAAAGTAAAAAAGAAATTAACCGCCATAACACAATTAAGTGCACGGCGTGGTGTGCAGTCGCCACCCTGCAAAGCTGAAGTTCTATCTCTAATGAACAGTTCCTCACGTCCCACTTACCCCAGCCTCAAGCATGAGCAGTCCCTGCACCAGGCTCCTCCAGTTCTTCCTGTCCGTAGAATCATGCTGTATTGACCCTTTTGTGACTGCGTGTTTCACAGAGCCTGTCTTCAGGAGGTGTGAGAACTTCCGTTTCTAGCTGAGCCCAGCAGATGGGTCTCCACAGTTTACTCCTTCAGCTGCTGATGGGCACTTGGGGTGCTTCCGCCTTCCAGCCAGCCCCGCGCTGTGAATGTGGGTGTGCAAATGTGACTCTGTGCCCCGCGTTCAGTTCTTTCCTAGATCACCCAACTCACACCTTAAAATAAAACTTTCCAAGCCCCAAAGTAACATTTTAAAACTTGGCAGAAAATCCAGATGAGCATAAAGGACAACAATGTTTAAAAAAATGATGCAACTGAACTGTAAAGCAGGAATGCTTTAAAGAGCTCTTTTCCATACTGCTAAATTCATTTGTGCATCTTGTACAAAGTTTAGAAAATGAGCCACGCACTGGTGGCGCATGCCTTTAAAATCCCAGCCCTCAGGAGGCAGAGGCAGGCGGATCTTGGAGTTCAAAGTCAGTCTGGTCTACAAAGTGATTCTAGGACAGTCAGGGCTACACCAGGAAACGTTGTCTCAATAAAATAAACAAGCAAAGTTGAGAAAATATAAAAAAAAAAAAACAAAATCAAGGACTGGAGAGATGGTTCAGTGGTTAAGAGCATGGACTGCTCTTTCATGGGACCTGGGTTCAATTCCCAGCACCCACACGGCAGCTTCAGTTCCAGGAAACCCAATGCCTTCACACAGACATTCGTGTAAGCAAAGCACCAATTCACATAAAATAAAAATAAATAAACCATTTAAAGAAAAAAGAAAAGAAAAGAAGAGCCAGATAGTGGTGGTGCATGCCTATAATTCCAGCACTCAGGAGGCTGAGGCAAACGGATCTCTGTGAGCTCGAGGCCAGCTTGATCTACAAAGCAAGTGTCAGAACAGGCTTCAGAGCTACACAGAGAAACCCTGTCTCCAAAAACAAAGAGAGAGAGAGAGAGAGAGAGAGAGAGAGAGAGAGAGAGAGAGAGAAGAAGAAGAAGAAGAAGAAGAAGAAGAAGAAGAAGAAGAAGAAAGAAAGAAAGAAAGAAAGAAAGAAAAGAAAATCAAAATAAAATCACTCATGAAAATTCTGCCTTCTCACCAGTGCCCATTTTCCTTGCATCTCACTCCACCTCTCCTCTCTTCATACACGTCTTCTTTCCTTTAAATAAAAAAAAATTGGAATTATAGTTAGGTATGCTATGGTTTCATTACCTTTACCACATAACAACTTGTGTTAAACCTGACAAAAATTGTTTTAAAACAATACCCTTGGGCCAGGGAAGTGGATGTGAACATGAGGGTCTGCATTCAGATCTCCAGATCTGTGTAAAGCTGATCACAGTGGGCATCTGCCATCCCTGCATCCCTTCCTGAGGAGGACGGGAGCTGGGAACAGTGGCGTTCCTGAACACTCTGCTCGGCTAGCCTGGCTTATGGAGTGGAGCACAGAGACCCTGTGTCAAACAGTATAGACAATGAGGACTGTCCCCTGAGGTTACCTGCTGACCTCCACACACCCCCATATGTGCTGACTGTGGCATGCTCACGACACAGGGATGCCCACACAAGCTGGGCCCTGGTGACAAGCACCTATAATCCTAGCACTTGGGAAACTGAAACAGAAAGATTGCCTCATGGTTGAGTCCAGCCTGGCTTACAAAGCAAGACCATGTCTCAAAAGAAGAAGAAGAAAAAAAAAACATTAACTAAAAAAGAATTTTTTAAAAACATTAATCTCCCTTTTAATGCAGATGACAATGGCATAGCAGTGTAGTAGAAGCATACAGGGCCCATAACACATATGACGAAATGCATAAATTATTTTATGTTGTATTAGCATATGTTAATTATCATAACAGTGGGTTTCATTGTAACATGTTCATACATATTTAAAATGATTTTATTATATCTATACCCCCATTATCTGGGTTCTTTGTTTTGTTTTCTGAGACAGGATGTATGTATGTATCCCAGGATAACCTTTAATTCCTGATCCTCCTGCCTCCACCACCCAAGTGGTGAGATTACAGGTGTGCACCACCACACCTGTTTTTTGTGGTGCCGGGAATGGAACCCAAGACTGCATGTACTCTAAGTACATCCTCAGTCCTGATTTTATAATTTAAAAATATCTCTCTTTCACATACACAGACACACATACAGACACAAGCACACATAGATGCACACACAGAGACACACACAGATGCACACACACAGACACACATAGATATACGCACACAGACACACACACACAGATATACACACACAGATACACACACAGATATACATACAGAAACACAAGCAGACACACACATACACACACAGATACATAGACACACATAGGCAAACACACAGACACACATACACACACACACACAATCTTCTAGGCTCCCCATGGCACTACCCCTCCCCCAGGTATTGCTCAGATATAGTTGATGCTCACCCCAGGGGTCCTTGTTTGTGTCCTTCCATGACAGGTTGGAAGAGCCCTGGGTGGGCCACATCAGCTTGCCAGCTGTGATGGAAGTCTGTGCCCAGGCCTCAGGATGTCTCTCTGAGTTAAGGTGAGTTCAGGGAGGAGCCCCTGGGAATTCACCACTCTGTGACTATTGCAGCCTTCCCTTACCCTCAGTCCTCTAGACATTTTATCCCGTAGATTAACAGCTTTGTCACTGGTAGAGAGTTTTGAAGAGCTATACACATTTATATAGAATATACTTATTTGTATAGTCTTGTGCAGTAGGCAGGCCACAACGTCAGAGGAGGGAAACTCAGGGTTCAAGGTCCAGGCAGGCATGGCTGGGGGTCCATGCTGGCTACCCAGAAGTGGCACCAGAGTACAGTAAGATGTTCTATGGATAACGATGATGGGAGCAAGGTTTTGGCTGGATCACGTGTGGTAACGGATTTCACCATGGTGCTGGCTGCTCTCGGCATCATCTCCCATTTTTTAACTGTCTTGGCCCTTGTTTGAGGCTAGAGGATCCATTGTATCATCCCAGTCAGGGAGCAGGCAGACTCAGACCTAGTCAACCTGCCCAAACAAGCGGCCATGCGTCTCACCACACCTCTTTTCTCCCTCAGCCTCTCCGAGACCCAGCACCAGCTGTGGCTCTGGCTGAAATTTCCTCACCAGGAAGACAATTCCGAGGCCATGGCAAACAGGTGGGACCCAGCTGCAGGAGCCTCCAGGGAGTGGCTGGTGGCGAGGCTCAGGAGGTGGCCCTGCTTGGGGCCAGTGTTTCCCATAGCCCCTGCTCAGCATCTTGTGCTGCTTGGTCGCTCTATCACTCTCCATCCTGCTCCAACCCAACAGCCCCATTCCTTCTCACCCGTTTTCAATTCCTCAAACACCACCTTGCCCTTTCTCGCCCCAGGCTCTTTGCACAGGCTCTTGCTTCTGCCCAGAATGTCTTTTCCTTGCCTACTTTCTTCCTCTTGTATCCGGTCATACCTTTTCATATTCCAAGTCTCATCTTAAATGCCCCGTCTCAACTGTGACTCCTGACAGCCAAGACTTGGCCAAGCCCTCCCACTCTCCACCCTCATGGATGCCTGGATTGATGACCTCTCAATCCAAATGTCATACCTTGGAAATTGAGATGTTCCCTCTTTTGAGTGGATACAGCTCTGCATGCAAACATTCTGGGGACTGGAGCTTGGAATGTGACTAGATCTCTGCCCCAACTTATCTCCTTGTCTGCATGTCCATCCTTGTGTAGTCAATGATCTACCTGGCCATGCCAGCTGGACCATCCTTCCCAGTGATGTTTGTAGCTGGGTAGTAAACTCAAGACTTCCTTTAACAGACATATATTTACCCTATATCATGAGTGTGAAGGCAGGGACGGGACCCCCAACGTGAACCAGGAGCTCTGAAACCGTGGCTTCCCTCTCTGCTTCCAGGTTGGCTCACTGTGACCTGGGAACTGACCACAGTCTTCTTACGAGACGGTTGATGGAGACATGTGCCAGACTGCAACTGCTCAGGTTGGCATTTCCAGCACTAGAGGTGGCTTCAAGTTTATTGGTTACCCCAGTGTCTCCTCCACCCCATATTCTCACTTCCCTGGGGGTGGGACTCAAACTTGGGCCAAGGGTCATAGACTCAGGGATGCCCAGGAAAACTCTTAGAGGGTCCTTATCTGGTGGGGATCCCCAAAGTGTGTTCAACCTGCAGTCTTCTGGAAGCTTCTTGGCCCTTTGCAGCTTGTCTCAGGTTAACTTCAGTGACGATGACACCACCAGGTCCAGGCTGCTGCAGAACCTCCTGCAGTCTAGCTGTGAACTCAAAACCTTCCGGTATGTAGACTTGCGTTTTCACTGAGGGCCCCTTGCCTGCTCACCTGACCTGGTCCTAACCTCTGGGCCCACAGGATGCTGCTCCCTCCCTGAGCTAGGGTCCCAGAGTCCTGGAGACGATGCTAAGGCTACAGGATCCTAAATGTGATCTTAGAGACACAGCCATACAACTAAAAATGTATTCCCAGAGCCTGGCGGAGGTGGTGCACACCTTTAATCCCAACACTTGGTAGGCAGGATCAGATCTACAAGATCTAGTTCCAGGACAGCTAGGACTGTTACACAGAAAAAAAAAAAAAAAGGAAAAAACAGGGCTTGGGAGATGGCTCAGTGGTTAAGAGCACTGACTGCTCTTCCAGAGGACCCGGTTCAATTCCCAGTAACTACATTGCAGCTCACAACTGTCTGTAATTCTAGTTCCAGGAGACCCAACACTCACGGCAAAACACCAATGAATGTAAAATATGAATAAATAAATATTTTAAAAAAACAAACAACAACAACAACAAGCTGCAGACACTAATTGTGTCACTTGGTAAATGTGGTGTCTGCCATGCTCCTTCACTTGCAAAATTGCTGTTTCTCTTTGCAATTGACACATGTATTGTAGGAAGATCACTTCAGACTGTCGATAACCAGGATATCCAGACTTTCATTCACAAATTTTAGCATCCATTGGTATATCTTGCCTGAATTAATTATCAGAACGAAGACGGCAAAATGGAGCTTTAGTTTAGTTGGGTTTGGTTTGATTTTGAGACAGGGTCTCAATATGTAACCCAGACTAGCCTCAAACTCTCCACCCTCATGTCCTAGCCTCTGACTGCTAAGGTTACTAGAATGAGCCCCATGCCCAACGCAATTGGAGGCTTTTGATGTTCAGTGCACCTTATTATATCAAGAAACTCTTGGCTGGTGAGATGGGTTAGTGAGTAAAGGTTCTTGTTTCCAAGCCTGAGAACCTGAGTTTAGTCTCCAGAAGCCACATGGAGAAAGGAAAGAAACCCCCACCCCCAAATTGTCCTCTGGCCTCCATATTCACACACCGTGGCATGTGCGTGCATACACACAGACACACCCACACACCAAATAAATAAGCAAAATCATAGTCTTTAAATAGTAGAGAACTTGGTATTCTTGGAGCCTCCCACTCTCAGGAGTTTTTCTTACTTTCCTATAATAATTTTTTATAAATAAATAAGTAGAATAACATGAAAAAATTTAAGCAGAGAGAAATTTTAAAACAAGTAAAACAAAAACTCATGATCATGAACTTGAGCTCAGTTCTGGGGCTCATTCCCTTAATCCTAGCACTCGGGAGCAGAAGCAAGCGGATCTTTGTGACTTAAAGGCCAGCCTGGTCTACATGTGAGTTCAGGACAGTCAGGGCTACATTGGGAGACCCTGTTTCAGAAAAGAAAACGAGAAGCAAGCAAACAAACAAACAAAGCCTCTTGGAGCGATCAGATTTTGACCCCGGAAGGTGCAGAGCTGTGTAGTGTCAGCTGGATAGTCCCACGGCGTCCAACCGTGGCTAAGGGTGACTCGAGGACCCCCAGCTTCTGCCTCCAGCACACCTTGACTTAATTAGTCCAGGGCGGCGAGGTTTATGGAAGACAGGTGTCCCCTGCCCACTGTCCCCAAGCACCACTCCCAGCTTCCGTCATCGGTTTCAGACCTCCGGAGGCCTGGGCTCTGCCTGACCTGCCACTCTTTGGTCCCCAACAGACTGACCTCCAGTTGTGTAAGCACAGAGAGCCTGGTCCACCTGGCATCTGGTCTGGGATACTGCCACCATCTGGAAGAGCTGGAGTAAGTCGGGATGGCTGGCGAGGACAGGGCTGGGAGGACAACTATGCCTCTGGGAGGGTGACAGAGATGCTTCCACCTGCCTCTGCTCTCCCCGACCAAGTGTTGCAGTCCCCAGACTGAACAGCGCGTTCCCGGGTTTGCCTTTACCTTTACCCATGGGGTGTCTCTGGCTAGATTTGTCTTTCTCCCTGGGTTGGGACGGCACATTTGTCAAAATGGGACTTGAATCCGCATCTGCCTCAGTTGATGGTGAGTGCCGGGGTGCAGAAAGCACAAAGGGACAGCCCAGCCGACATAGGCTTGGACGTCCCTCAATCCATATGTAGCCTTCACCTGGCATGTCCTTATCTGATACAGCTGTGACTGTCACCTCTCCTGCAGGAACCCTAGAGCTTGGCCCTTGAGGCCAGGAATGCCCTTGGGGTACAGGCTCCACAGAAAGCCTAGTCTAGTATCCTCAGCCCCAGTCAGCCTCCCCAGGGCCAAGGGCCAAGGACGGTGCCTCTCCAGGGCCTGGGGGAAGGGGCTGTCCAGGGCACTTGCCCGAATGGAGCCTTCTGTTTTGTCTCTACAGTTTCTCTAATAACCATCTCTGTGAGGAGAACATAGAGCTACTGATGGGAGCCCTTCAGGGGACCTGCAGGCTAAAGAGGCTGCAGTAAGTGAGGGAAGGCTAATGGGGAGGCGGGGAGGGAGGAGGTTCATGGGGAGGGGTGAGTGAGGAGGTTCATGGAGAGGGGGTGAATGAGGAGGTTCATGGGGAGGGGTTGAGTGAGGAGGTTCATGGGGAGGAGGGTGAGTGAGGAGATTCATGGGGAGGGGTGAGTGAGGAGGTTCATGGGGAGGAAGGTGAGTGAGGAGGTTCATGGGGAGGAAGGCGAGTGAGGAGGTTCATGGGGAGGAGGGTGAGTGAAGAGGTTCATGGGGAGGAGGGTGAGTGAGGAGGTTCATGGGGAAGGGTGATTGAGGAGGTTCATGGGGAAGGGTGAGTGAGGAGGTTCATGGGGAGGGGGTGAGTGAGGAGGTGCATGGAGGAGGGGAGTGAGGAGGTCAGTTGGGAGGAGAGTTAGTGGGAATTCATGGGGGGAGATGAGTGGGTCTGTGCAGAGGAGTACATGAAACAGGGATCCCACTGTCTCCCCATCTCCTCTCTGAATGTACCTTTGAGTCTCTGGATGACTTCCCCCACCTTTTGTTCCCCTGCTGAGCTGAGTGTCATCAGGATGCTTGGTCTCTGGACACATAATCCCCAAACCAAAGCATCCTAGGCAGGACTTGGCTTCATTCTTTTAAAACAAAACAAAACAAAACAAAAACAACAAGGCAACTAACTGCAGCATGGCTGGATCCAGGGGTCAGCTACTGGTCTGTGTTGTCCCACCCAGCACCTCCACATCTTTCTTTTCTCTTAGTGGAAAGGAAGCACATTTCTCCCCGTGGTCAGTTGGAGACATACTGCCTGAGCTCAGGTTACAGGCCTGAATGAGCGCTAAGGCCTGCACTGTCCTCTGCACGTAGAGAGCGTGACGATAAGATGCTGTTACAGAAGAGAGGACACAGACTCTGGGCAGAACCCTTCCTGTGCCCCTGGCACCAGCACAGTCCTCCCTCTCTTTCTCCTTCCTTCCTTCCTTCCTTCCTTCCTTCCTTCCTTCCTTCCTTCCTTCCGTCTGTCCGTCCGTCCGTCCGTCCTTCCTTCCTTCCTCCCTCCCTCCCTCCCTTCCTCTCTCATTCCCTCCCTTCCCTCCCTCCTTTTCTCTTTCCCTCCCTTCCTCCTTCCCTCCCTCCCTTCCTCCCTCTCTCCTTACTTCCCTCCCTCCCTTTCTCTCTCCCTCCCTCCTTCCCTCCCTCCTACATTATGTGCACATGCCAGCATGCATGTTCTCACGCCTTGGTGAACACCCAGAGATCTGAGAGCAATTTTAGGGAGTAGCTCTTTCTTTTCACCGTGGGATTCAGGGATCAGATTCAGGTCCTCAGTTTTGGCACCCAGCACCTTTACCTACTGAGCCAGCCTGCCAGCCAACAGGTGTCTCTCAGTAACTCTCTACTTCTACTCTCCCTAGTAATTTGCAAGTTCACAGAGGCGCCAGGAACAGCCCAACCCAAAACACAATCCCATCCTGCATAGACCCAGCTTAGGCAATATCTTGTGAGCACATTTAACTGCATTTTCGGTTTTGAATCTGTTTTTCTGATGACCCCAAATACACCCTGGCTATAAAAAGCTCCATAATTTCAAAAATATGCAACAAAGAGGGTGAAATCCCCTGGAGATGAGCTCCTTCAGGAAACTTCCCGGAACAGTCAGTCTGTGAACTGTTTGCCAGACTTTTCTCCACATATGTGCCGCACATAGTTGAAAAGCAGTCAGTCTTGGGGCTGGAGAGATGACTCAGCAGTTAAGAGCATTGCCTGCTCTTCCAAAGGTCCTGAGTTCAATTCCCAGCAACCACATGGTGGCTCGCAACCATCTGTAAGGCTCCTGCTCTGTCTCTCCTAGCTCATCTAGGGGAAATCACTGAGGATGAGCGACATTAGGAAACCTTGGGCCATTAGGAAACCAAGCCCCACCCCATTCCTCCACCCCAGTCTTTCCACAGAGCTGTTGCTTGGGCTCCCCAGGTGCTCACTGCTTTCTTAGTCTTCCAGAATCTTCCAGAAGCTTTATCTGAGGGGTTAAGAACCCAGTAAGGTCACTTATTGGCTCATTCATCTGTGTGATCCTGAAGCCTTGGTCAGGGCTTGGGGTTGGTGGTTGACAGATTATTAGAAATGGTTAGATCAATATGTAGGAGTTAGCCAATAAGAGGCTACAGATAATGGGCCAAGCAGTGTTTAAAAGAATACAGTTTCTGTGTAATTATTTCGGATAAAGCTAGCCAGGAGCCAGGTGGCGGGAATGCGGCCCGCCGCTCGTTCCTTTTACAGGTGGTCCTGTAGGTTGAACCATTGGGCCCATCACCCTCAGTCTTGAGTCCCAGACACTCAGGCTGCTCCTTACTACTTCCTTGTTGTCTGGAAGAAGTTAATGGGTCCTCAATGTACAGAAGCCAGATGGGTCAGTTCCATGCCTTCTGCCACTGACAGCTCCCCTCAAACTGAGCCAGCTTCTTCCAGCTGTCCTCATAGAATAGGGAGTGAACCCTGTGCAGAGCCACACCATCCAGGTGCAGTGGATAGGCTCTACGTGGACCCCGCTCAGAGCCACACCATCCCTGTATAATGGATAGGCTCTAAGTGGTACAGTGAATAGGCTCTATGTGGACCCTGCTCAGAGCCACGCCATCCCTGTACTATGGATAGACTCTAAGTGGACCTGGCACAGAGCCATGCCATCCCGGTATGATGGATAGACTCTAAGGGGACCCTGCGCAGAGGCACACCATCCAGGTGCGGTAGATAGGCTCCTGATAGACTTGCCTGTCTTCGTGGGCTGAGGTTTTGTCAGTTTCCGCACTGATTACGTGTCCTTAAGAACCCTAGCTCTAGGAAATCGAGGCAGTTGGCCAAGTCCTGCTGCCACATTGCCATGCTGGTGCGGGCACGCTCTTCACCTCTCTAGGCTAAGTCTTCTCTCCGAGCTTTGATTTTCCGGGATTATGAGGATTAAGTGAAATGATGCACGGTGAGTGCTGAGAGCAGAGGCTGCGTTCCCTCAGTAGGAGCCTGGCTAATACTGTCATTCCTCCCTTTGGGGCTCATGCTGGAGGCCTTGGAATCACCAGCCAGTGGGTAGCACATGGCTGGGGCCCTAGAAAGGGGTCTTGAAGTTTCAGGTTTTATTCTTGCTGCTACTGCTGCCGCTGCTGCCACCACCGCTGCTTTCTCTTGTGACCCTGAGTACGCCCCCTTCCTCTCCGGGCCTCAGTGTTTCTCATCTGTAGAACGAAGATGGCAGTGTGCCCACCTTTCAACATGGCCCCAGCCCAGTCTTTCGTCACTGTTAATGTGATCTCTGTTATTGCTCAGTCTAAGCTTGTGGTTGAGAACGCAGAGTCATTATTGGGCCATATGACTCAAGAATCCTTGCACACTTTCTGGGTACTCTTTTCTTTTCACACTTCACATCGGAGGGCTGTGGGTGTGCGAAGTGCAGAGCCCTCACGAGTCCGTCAGGTCGGGGCTTCCGTCTGCATCCCAGGCATGCAAAGTTCACCTGACCCCCTCTCTCTAGCCTCAGTCACGTTCCACTGGAAGTCTCCTCCCTGGCCTTGCTCATTCAAGGACTAAGTCACATGACCCTACTGCAGCACCTTAGGTGAGTAATCAGTAACCCCTGGGAAAGAGCGAGAGGACCACTGGTCAGCTCTGTCGGGAAACGCTGGACACACCTCCTTTATAACCCGGGTTGACCCCCTCTGGGGTCCTCCCTGTGCTCTCATTGTCCTTGCCGCCTCGTGCCGCCAGCTTCCTCCTGGCTACAAAGGTGACCTGGCAAGGTGGGCTCACTTTGGGAGCCCCATAAAAGCCCTGCCCTATGCCTAGGACTCTGTAGATTTGTGTTAAGATGAGAGTCGTGACTGGGCAGGTCCAGGTGCCGATTGTGTTTCCCATGATCACCGCGGTGGTGACCGTTTTCAGTGAAGTAAGGGACACCACTTCCTTCCGAGTTGACAAGGGAATGCCACAGGCATTTGGTTCTGTCACAGGCCCACGTGGCTCTGGCAGGGCCTGCGGTTAACATGCAGGAGGATGTGGCACATAGGATCCAAAATCAATCCTCTGCAAGGCAGTTGGCTAAACCTCAACTGTGAAAGAAACAACCCTTATAACAAGAGGGCAAATCATTTCCCTGGGCAGTTTAGTTTACTTCAAGTTTAGCTTAGCTCTCGGCCCTCATCCAAGCAAGACCAGTCCAGATGCAGAAAAGGCAGCGGAGATGATGGCGGTAGTGGTGGGTGGGGGTGGAGTGGGACCTACTGGTGCGGGGGGTGGGGTAGGTGGGGAGTGGGGTGGGAGCTGCAGCTGCTTATGGTGATGGTGGGGGGGGTAGGTGGGGAGTGGGGTGGGAGCTGCTGCTGCTTGTGGTG